TCTCATGTTTGGCTCACTCCTGAGCATGGCTTGGTGTGATGGATGAGCAATCCACGTGTGGCCTGTTCCCAGAGCGGGTGTAGCTGCTGCCTGGGGCTCTGTGGAGCCTGGTGCTGGTTTCCCTGCCCTGGCACTGGTGTCCCTGCCCTGGGGCTGCTGTCCCTGCCCTGGGGCTGCTGTCCCTGCCCTGGGGTTGGTGTCATGAGCCCAGGTGCCAGCCCGTGCTGGGATTTTCTCCTGGTGGCCCCAGTGGGGCACCAGCACCTTGCCAGGGCTTCCTGCCCTGCCAGGCAGCTCCTGCTCTCTCTGGAGCCCTTTGGGGGAGCAGGGCTGGGCTGCTGGGCTGGGCTTGCTTCCTTCCAGCCTTGTTTGTGAGCACACTTGGAGAGATGCACTTCCCACTTCCCACCTCGGCTGCTCCATCCGATGTTTTCCATCTGTGCCTTTAGAGCTCGCAGGGATCACCTGGCAGCATCAGCCACCCAAAACCAGCACGGGAACCAGCCCTGCAGAAGCAGGAACACGGAGCCAGACAAAAAAGCACAAAATTCCCTGGGGCTGGGTTGTTTTGCAGCCTGTGCTTCCCCTCCCGGGTAGGTGAGCTCCCTCTGGGCTGCAGGCTCAGGAGATGTCTGTGCCGGGCTCTCGGGGTGGGCTGTGCCAAGGGGAGCTGGGCCCTGTTTCCCTGGATTGCTGCTCCCTGCCCTGCCCTGCCCTGCCCTGCCCTGCTCTGTCTCTGTAGCAGCACGAGGGATCCTTGATTTGAGGCTTGGGGCTCTTGGCTGAGCTTGCTGCAGGGATGAATCAGCAGGAAATGCCAGCCTGGAGCGCTGGGCAGAGCCTCTGGGCTGGCATGTGGCTGCTGCTGCAGCTCCCAGCAGTGCAGGGCACGCTGCAGCTCCCAGCAGTGCAGGGCACGCTGCAGCTCCCAGCAGTGCAGGGCACACTGCAGCTCCCAGCAGTGCAGGGCACGCTGCAGCTCCCAGCAGTGCAGGGCACGCTGCAGCTCCCAGCAGTGCAGGGCACGCTGCAGCTCCCAGCAGTGCAGGGCACGAGGGTTTCTGCTGCTGCCAGGTGAACCTGGCCCGCCCTGGCAGTGCTCAGTGCTCCTGGGAGGCTTCGGGGAGCACCTGGAGTGGAAGCACCCCAGAAATGCTCCAGCTGGGCCTCCTTCCCCGTGCATCCCTGAGCCCCAGGGGTCACCAGGAACGTCACTGCCCCAGGAAACTCCCAGCTGGCAAAGCACTGGGACCAGTCTGAGAGGGAAACTGGAGGCTGGTGCCCAGGGTGTGCTGAGCAGGGCTGGTGGGGCACTTGGGGCTCTGTGGAGCCTGGCCTTGGTGTCCCTGCCCTGGGGCTGGTGTCCCTGCCAGTCCCTAGAGGTGTCCCATGGAGGTGTCACCCTGGAGGTGTCACCCTGGAGGTGTCCCTGGGCTCTCCATTCCCTGGAGGTGTCCCATGGGTGTGTCACCCTGGAGGTGTTCCTGGGCTCTCCATTCCCCGGAGGTGTCCCATGGATGTGTCCCATGGAGGTGTCACCCTGGAGGTGTCAGCAAGGACAGGGGCTGGCAGGGCAGGGGGCAGGAGCTGGGGGAAAGGAGCAGCTCCTGACGGAGCAGGGGATGCTGCTCCATGCTGCTCCATGCTCAGGGAAGCACCGTGCAGCTGCAGGGAGCAGGGAAGGAGCACAGACAGGGGCACATCCCCTCAGCTGGAGCAGTCCTGCTCCCCAGCTCAGGCTCTGGGACAGTTTCACTGCATTTCACTGAAATTCTGTAACCAGCAAAGGCTCTGCGGGCTGGGACCCCTCTGGGAGGGTCCCTCGGGGCGGGTGGCTGGAGGTGGGTGCCTTGTGCTGGGTGTCCTGTGCAGCAAGGAGCTGCATCCCAGCTGTGGCCTCCAAATCCTTGTGGCTCCTGGATGTGCTCGGCACAGCTCCCTCCATCCCCTCCCTGCTCCAGGGCTGACCGAGGTAACCCAGTTCTGCTCCTTCAGACTGGAAAAGGGATTTTGTGTCTGTTTCCCAGGTGTGTTGTCTATTCCCATAAAAACGAGATGTGACCTTGGGCTGCCTCAGTCCAAAATACCCCCAGGATTCCCCCAGGGCAGCTCCTGGAAGGAATTTGGGAAACTGAGAGCTGTGGGCTGGGGTTGCTGTGAGAAGCTGCTGTGGGAGTCTGTGTGTGGCTGCCTGGGACTCGCTCCCTCCCCATCCTGCTGTCCTGCTGCATCCCAGGGCTTGGCACTCCTGTTTCCACTGGGCTGATTCACAAAAACCCCAAGCACACGACACGGAACAGCTGAATCCTCCCAGCCTCGTCCTGTGCCACAAACCGAGAGCTCAGCCTAAAAATAGCCCCGTTGCCTGTTGGAGGTGCAGCCCCGACTGTCGAGGAGGTCTTGGGGCCAGAAATAGCTGCTGACCCCAGCAGCAGCGGGGGCTTTGCCTCGGACAGTGCCTTTTGGAGCAGCTCAGGCCCAGCAGCCCCATTCCCTGGGATGCTCCCGGGGTGGGAGAGGCTGGGGGCACATCCAGCTCCTCCTGGGCAGCTCCTGCCTTTCCCTGTGTGAACCCACCCACGTTCTTGCTGGTTTTTTCCATGGGATGATGTAAGTACACAAGCTCCTTTCAGGAGTTCTCTCTTTTTCCTGTGCAGTGATTCAGCCCCCAGGCTGTGCAGCCCTTCCCTCCTGAGCTGCTTCCAGCTCCTGCATTCCAGGGCAGGATGGGCTGGGGGATGTTCCAGCAGCCTTTCCCCTCCAGTCCTTTGGGAAGTGTTCTCCTGCTGCTGCTCCCTGCAGGGGCTCAGCTCTAAGGGGTTAGTGCTGCCTTTTTCCTTGGGTTTTTTCTTTTTCCTGCCTGCATATTTTCAAGCTGGCAGCCTGAGCACTGAAAGTTTTGCAGTGGGCATGGGGTGGGATAAGCGAGTGGTGGGAATAGCAGTGGATTCACTGGGATTTAATTCAGCAAATCCCAGGCATGTCCCTCCTGCCTTTGTGTGGCCAAGGACCTGGGTGCTGCCAGCTGTAACCAGGGAATGAGGGCATTTTGTGCCCCCTTCATGGGATCCCAAACTGGTTTGGGTTGGAAGGGTCCTTAAAAGGCATCCAGTCCCACGGGCAGGGACACCTCTCACTGCCCAGCTCCTCCAAGGCCTGTGTGGTGTAGCATTCCCAGCCTTCCCAGCTTCTCCCTTCATCCAGGCTGGGATAACTCCCCTGGCAGCAATTCAGGAGCTCCTGGAGGACACAATTCCAGTTTTTTCCTCACCCTGGTGATTCCAGGATGGTCACACCTGCCCCAATCCCATCCCATCCCATCCCATCCCATCCCATCCCATCCCATCCCATCCCATCCCATCCCATCCCATCCCATCCCATCCCATCCCATCCCATCCCATCCCATCCCATCCCATCCCATCCCATCCCATTTTCCTTCCCTATTTTTTTTCTTCTCAGTGAAGAAGAAAAGTCCCTCTTCTTCACTCTCCAGGTGGATGTAAGACACCACTGGGATTTTTATTTTCTGGGAAATTGTTGATGCATGTCGGAAGTGTCTTCACCTCCCGTTGCTCCCAGGAAGCACAAGGTGGAGAAGCAGGATCTGTCCCGAGCCTGCAGCTTCCCCTGGGCCTTGTTACGGGGAATTTGAATCAGAAATTCATTTCATCCTTGGGTCTGGGCAGGGTCAGGGCCGTGGCTGTGCTGGGCCCTGGAAGTGGTGCCTGGGCTGGCAGAGGTGGGGCAGCCCCTGGGGAGAAGGGGGTGAAGCGATTTTTGGGAAGGAACGGTTCCCTTGGGGCTGTGGTTGGTGCTGCCCCATTGGCATGAGGGAACGGAGGGCCAGGGGTGGCTCTGGTGTCCCCATTCCCAGCGTTCCTCCCCACTGGCAGCAATCCAGACCCCTCTCCAGAGGCTGCCCCGTGCCCTGCCAGCTGCCAGGCCGTTCCCTGGGGCAGCATCAGCACTAAAGGGAGGCTGGGGTGGTTCTGCCTGGTGCAGTGAACGGTTTGGAGGCTTTGCCAGTGTTCCCCCATTTCCATGGGCAGCTCTGCAGCAAAGGCTGTGTCCTGTGTGGGGTGGGACAGTGGGCAGCATTCCCAGGAATCCTCTGGAATCAGTGGGAGCTTGTGCTGGACGTGGCCGATGGCTCCTCCTGGAGCTGCCCCCATGAACCTGCCGTGGGGATGTGGGAATTGCCCCAGATCAGCAGCCTGGGGAGGGTGGGCTGGTGTTGGGTGGGGCTGGAACTGCTCAGAGCTGCTGGAGTTCACCCCAGAGAACTCCTGGGATGTGTCACCCTGTAAAGAAAGTGATCCAAGGACACTTGCAGCAATGCTGAGCATCTTTGCTGGGGTGAGACACAGCAGGTCTGGCAGGAAGTTGATTTAATGGATGCTGTTGAGTTCCTTTGCTGTTCTGGGTCAGTCTCTGCCGAGAGGATCCCTGAGTCACCGGCTCTGGGACATTCAAATCACGAGGTTTGTCTCCTCCCAAGCACCGCTGCCAGCTCTGCCTGGGGAATCTGGGGTGTCTGGCAGGCTCAGTGAGGTGCTGGTTTCCAGGTTATTCAGTGCCAGGGCAGTGCTTGGGGTGAGGACAGGGATGGAGATGGAGCTGCAGGTGTCCCAGGGAGGGTCAGGTCCTGTGTCACCTCTGCATGGGGTGTTTGTGTCTCTGACGTGGGGTTTAGGTGGTATCTGGGACACTTGGCTTAGAATCCCAGCAGCAGTGAGGTTGGAAAAGCGCTCCTGGATCATCCAGTCCAAGCTGTGCCCAATGCCCAAAGCGCTGAGTGCTGCATCCACTCGTTCCTTGGGCACCTCCAGGGATGGGGACTCCAAACCTCCCTGGGTACTTCCAACATTTCCCAGCCCTTTCCCTGGAGAAACTGGTGCTGGATAACCCTGGTGCTTCTCCCAGCAGCAGCAGCTCCTCCGAGCTCTCCTGGCTCTGGGAGGTGACAGAGGGCCCTGTCCTTGTGTCTCCCCTGGCTGCAGGTGGCACAAGCTGCACTCCAAGGCTGGGAAGAAGGAGAAGGAGCGGGGTGAGATCCTGGTGAGCATCCAGTTCACGCGGAACAGCCTCACGGCCAGCATGTTCGACCTGTCGGCCAAGGACAAGGCGCGCTCGCCCCTGGGCCGGCTGAGGGACAAGGTGACAGGCAAGAAGAAGTACGACCTGGAGTCGGCCTCTGCCATCATCCCCAGCAGCATGGGGGCCCTGGACATGGAGGACGACTTCGAGCTCGGGGGCAAGAAGTCCAAACTGAAGGGCTTCTTCCTGAAGAGCAAGCTGCGCAAGTCCTCCCTGACGCAGTCCAGCACCTCCCTGGGCTCCGACAGCACCGTCTCCTCTGCCAGCCTGAGCCTGGCAGCCAGCGCCCCCGAGGTGCCCAAATCCCCCAGCAGACACGGCAGCCTGTCCACGGAGCACTCTGGTAAGAGGATCAGGGATAATCCCCCAGCCTCCCTCTGCAAGGGACTGCTGAGACCTCCTCGCAGCTCTGGGGACTGATGGCTTACCCAGCACAGAATCAGGAATTGTGCAGTTGGTTATTCCAGTTCTGGGAAGGTGGAATGTGCAATTGGTTAGGTTGGAAAAGCCCTCCAGGATCGTGGAGTGCAGCTGTTCCCTCAGCACTGCCAAGGCCACCGCTCACTGTGTCCCCCAGTGCCACTTCCACAGGGCTGGGAAATCCCCCAGGGATGGGGACTCCAGCCCTGCCCTGGGCAGCTGTGCCAGGCTGGGCAGCCCTTCCCATGAGGAATTTCCCCAGTTGCCACCCTAGGGCTCCCCTGAGGCCGTTCCCTCTCCTCCTGTCCCCTGGGAACAGATCCCAAATCCCCCCGGCTGTCCCCTCTTGGCAGGAGCTGTGCAGAGCCACAAGGTCCCCCTGAGCCTCCTCTGCTCCAGGATGTCACTGCGAGGTGACATCCTGCACAAACCCCCCAGACCCTGTGTGTGCTGGCACCGAGGTGTTTCCTGGGAGGAACATCCCAGGTTTTGCATTTCCACGGCTGCACCCCGAGCTCCCGGGATCTGAGGGTTCTGCAGGGCTGCTCCGTTCAGCCCCTCGGAGCGATCCCTGCCAGGAGGGCCGGGCTGGGCTGGGCTGGGCCGGGCTGGGATGAGCTGCTGGCCCTGCCCTGGGTCACTGCTCTCTCTAATGAGCCGCCTCCAGCTCCCAGGCAAAGCCCAAACGGGCCCAGCTCCGGTGATTAAAACAATCTGAGCTCTTGGCACTCCCAGGGCAGTCATTTACAAACAAAAAAGGCCCTTGTAGGGAATTAATTCTCCCTTGGAAACAAATTAAATGGTTCAGTTGGCTGAGACAGCACATTGCCAGGTTGGGTGGGAGTCCCTGGCGAGGCTGGTGATGTTCCTGTGCTGGTTCCATCATCCTTGGGATGGGCCTTCCAGCTACTGGGAGCTTCCGTTCCCATGGCAGGGGGGTGGAACTGGGTGATCTTTAAGATCACTTCCAGCCCAAAGCATTCCATGATTCTGTGAAGGAAGCAGCATCTCCAGCTGGGAGTTGTTTTCCTTGGGTCCTCCTTGACTTTTACCTCCAAAAATTGGCAGTAGCCACGAGGTCATAGAATCACAGAATTGTTCAGGCTGGGAAAGATTTCTCAGATGATCAAGTCCAGCTCTCAAGGCAGTAGGAGGGAGGTGCAGGCACGGAACCCTCCTGGCTCATCACACTGAGCAGTGGCCCCATCACCTCTTGTTCAGTGCAGTAAGTCACAGGGAAGCTTTAAAACCCTTTAAGGAGCTTCTGAGGAGTTCCTTGCATTTCTTACAGGCTGAGATCCTCTCAGACGATGGGTTTGTCATCTTTCAGAGCCTCCTCTGGGGTGCTCGAGGACAATTTTGTGTCCCCTGTGTGGCCGCACAGCAGTGAGCTGTGCTTTGCATTTCCAAAGATTTAACCCTGATCCCACGGCAGGGAAAGGCCGGGGTGATGGCCCAGCTCTGGCTGCTGTTTGAGGGTGGCCTCAGCCGCTGCGTGTTTGTCCCCGCAGGGAAGGAGCTGCTGGCCTCGCCCCAGCTGGGCCACAAGAGAGCATTCAGCGAGGACGTGTCCCCGGCCAGCCCCGGCAGAGCCCCGCAGAGCCCCGGGCCAGGGAAGGAGCCCGTGTCCCGCTCGTCCCTCTGCATCAACGGCAGCCACGTGTACGGCGAGGAGGCAGCGCCCAGGAACCCGCCCGTGCCCGCGCCCCGCCGCCAGGACCAGCCCCTGGCCTTCGCCCCCCTGCCCCCCGAGCCCCAGCACGGCTCCTGGGGGCTGGACAGGGCCCAGCACAGGGACGAGCCCAGGTTCATCCCCTCCCCTCCCAGCCTGGCCCTGCAGGAAGAGCTCAAGGTGTCCACCAAGGCCGTGACCCTCAGCAACCACCTGGGCAGGGCCAGGCTGGAGGAGAGCCAACGCCTGGAGGGCAGACCCAAGGATGGAGCGCCCGAGGACACCGTGAAGGAGGAGAAGAAAGCCAAGGGAGGCTTCTTCCACCACGGGGGCGGCCGCAGCGACGCGGGGGACAAAGGCCAGGGGGACACGGGGACCCCCGTCCACGCCGCGGCCACGGGGGATGAGAGGAGTAAGAGCAGCGGCTGGTTTGGGCCCAAGGAGCCCAGAGAGTGCCCTCCTCAGAAACCCAGGTCAGTGGAAGGGCGTGTGGAGGTCCAGGCTGGTGATTCCTGCCCCAGTTCCCGTCTCCGGCGGCTCCTGGGTGCTCCTGGGAGCGCCCAGGCAAGGGCAGAGCAGGGAAATGCTTCCTTGCTCTTAAATGTCTCAGAGGGACGGGGATTTTCCTGGATCCTGTCCTGGCTGCTGCCAGAAAGCACCTCTGCTGGGTGTGGGATGTGTTTTCTTCTCAGGGAAGGGAGGGATCCCCTCCATGGAGAGGTTTCCCTCTGCAGAGGTGAGGCTCAGTGTGGTCACACCAAGCGGTTCTGTAACCTCAAAATGCAGATTCATTATCCTTTAATGAGCTGAAAAAGCTTCCCTGGCAGTCTGGCTGGGATGTGGGATAATCACATTCTTGTTCTGAACCCCACACCCCGCTGCAGGGTCTGGTCAGGGTGCAGCACTTTGGTTACATGAGATATCATTAATATTCCCAAAGTAACTAATCCCAACCCTGCTCTTTCCTCTTCCCATCCCACCCAGCCTTCCCTTCTCCCAGTTACCAATCTCTAGCTGTTCTTGCTTTGTGTGGTGATTCATCCCTCCAAATCCTCGGGGTTTGTGGTGTTTGTGCTGTTCCTGAGAGGAATTTATCATCCCTGCAGCCCCTGGAGCTGAGCTGGCAGTCCAGAGGTCGAGGCTGGTGTCAGTGAGAGGCAGGAAATGGGGTTCAAATCAGCCAGAGAAAACAAGCAGAAAACAACTCAGAGCTGGGGCAGTCTGCAGCCTTGGTTTATGAGAGGGATTTTCTGATCTGGGCTGACTTTAACCTAATTTATTAAGCAGAAGGATTTGAGTTCAGTCTGAGCCTCCTTTAATGAACAGGGCACTCCTGGTTTATTCCACGTAGCCTGGCTCCCACATGGGTCAAAGCTGGGAGGGGATGAGCACGTCCCTCAGCCAGGCTCCAGCACCAGCCCCAGGATTGCTCCTTTCCACAGGGAGGTGTCATGCCCCTGGTGGCCTTGAGGCAGAGCTGGGGACACTGGGACAGGCAGGAGCTGCTGCCCTGGGCCAGGAGCATCAGGAATATCCCATCCCACAGGCCTGGATGGGATGTGTCCATCACTGTGTCCACAAAGTCCATCCCTGGGGAGGAGAGGCAGGATGTGGGAGCTCTGCCCTGTCCCAGCAGCAGGAGAGACAAGGGTGGGGTCTGGGGCCTGCTGAGCTGCATCCCTGGCGTTCCCTGTCCCTGGAGGTGTCCAAGGCCAGTGTGGACGGGGCTTGGAGCCCCCTGGGATGGTGGAAGCTCCTTGTCCATGGCAGGGCTGGAATGGGATGGGCTTTAACCCTCACCTGCTGGGATTCTGTGATTCCCAGGAGTCTCAGAGCCCTGGCAGTGGTTTGGTGTCACATCCCAGGGCAGGATTTGTGCAGGAGCCTGAAAAACTCCGGTCTCTGCGCCCTGTCCTTGGGCAAGGACAGAGTATTCTCACTCAAGATCTTTCTTTTAATTTTTCTTTCTAATTTTGGGCTAAGATACCTGCTGGTTAAGGCCTAGAATAAAAAAAATCAAGGCTTAAAAATCCTGCTGTATCCAGGCAGAAACTCAAGTGCCTGAGGCAGCCAGGGAAGCTGGGATGGGATGGGATGGGATGGGATGGGATGGGATGGGATGGGATGGGATGGGACGGGATGGGATGGGATGGAGCTGCCCTTGGCGTCTCTCTCTGGGGCCTTTTCCTTGGGAAATGGGTGAGAAGCCAGCAGGTTTTCCCCTCTTGGCAGTCCTGGGGTGTCAGATCCGGCTGGAATTCAGCTCCTGGTCCATCCAACCCGGTGGATAATCACCAGGAGTGCCCCTGAGCTGCTGCCTTCTGACAGCTCCCTGCCTCCTGGACTCATTGCCAGAGGCTCCAGTCCATGGCTTTGTTTAAATCCCCTCCGTGCTGGCAGTTCAATCCAAGCTCAGCCAGAGCTGAGCTCTGCCCGGAGCTGCCGTGCCAGGGACTTTGTCTGTCCTGGCAGGAGGGACTGGGATGAGCTGTGTGGCAGCAGCTCCTCTGGATTTTTTGGGATTTTCTCTCCCAAACCCAGGAATGGATTCCAGGCAGCAGGAGCTGCAGGGAAGGAATTCACAGAAGCCCTTTGGGCTGTTTAGGAACATCTGAGTGGGCTTTAAGTGCAGCTTGCAGTTGAGAATGGGAAATCATGAGGGGGGTTGAGAGGAGGAGCTGGGAGAAGTGGCTCCTGGAGGATGGGGAAATGCTGGAGCTGCCTGGCTGGGAAGGGATTTCTCCCTCCCAGTGTCCAGGGATTTGTCACTGGGATAGCTGAGAACCCTTGGGGAACATTACAGGAATGACTGAGCCTGATTTGCTGCAGAAAGGGACAGGGTTTGTCTCTGCCCTGCTTTTCCCTGCTTTTCCCTGTGCTTCAGTTTTCCTGGCCATTCATTGAGATATCATTATCCATTTTAATTATAGAGAACTGATTTCTCTGATTGTATCTCGTTGCCTTACACTGAACAACCTCATGGACCAAGCTGGTGATGCAGGTCAAAGCTGTGGAAGAGCTTTTAGGTCTTGGTAGTTTCAAAGTGCCAGAGGGCAGGGTCAGATGGGATCTTGGCAAGGAATTCCTGGCTGGGAGGTTTGGAGGGGCTGGCACAGGTGCCCAGAGCAGTTGTGGCTGCCCTGGATCCCTGGAATGTCCCAAGCCAGGCTGGACACTGGGGCTGGGAGCAGCCTGGGACAGTGGGAGGTGTCCCCATGGCAGTGGTGGCACTGGAGGAGCTTTAAGGTTCCTTCCAGCCCAAACCATTCCAGATTCTCTGGTCTCTGGGGGTTCTCTGATGTCCATTTGTGGCTGTTCAGGAGCAGTGTCAGTCCTAGAGCTGAATTAAGCCTTGCTCTGGAGAGAAGCAGCCTCTGAACTGAGCAGTTTTAAGTCTTGGCTTACTTGCAGAAAGGGCTTTTCCCCTCCTGCTCTCCTGACCATGGATATTTCTGCCAGCAGCACCTTCTCACCTGTTTGGCCACCTTGGATAACCCAGAGCTGAACGTGGTGAGAAAGCATCAAAATCAGTCACTTTGCCAGCCCAGAAGCCTCAGCCTGTAATTAGTTAAAAGGTCTGTAATTAGAAGGATGGTTTGAGTTTGCCTGCAGCAAAGCCCAGCCTGGCACAGCTCATCTTTACCCACTTGCTCTGCCAAACACACCCTTCCCAAAATAGGGAGCTGCTGCTTTGGGCCGGGTTTAACTTTATAAAGCTTTATAAAGAGGGTTTTGTTGTGTTCTGGGAGGGTTTAGCTGAGCCCTCAGTGTGGGAGCTGGCTCTGCAAACCTGTCTGTGCTCTCACTGGGGACAGAGCTGGGCATTTCTTATTTACACCCTGATTCTTCCTTCCCAGGGAAGCAGGTCCCAAGGGCTCTGCCCGTCATCCCTGGCTTTGCTAATCCCTGGGAGCTCAGGCTTTGATGGGAGCAGGAGGAAGATGGTGTTTGCTCTTCGGAGGCTGCATAAAAGCCTGGTTGGGGGTTGTTGTTTGAATGTCAGTGGTTAAGGGCTGTATGCAAGGAAGAAGCTCAGCAGGTTTATTTGAGGCAAAGCCTGGGCCTGGAATAATCCTTTACATGTTTCCAGGGTTTCCTCCAGTGTTATCAGAGCTCTGCAGCTCCTGCTTCCTGTGGAGATGATAAAATGGGGCTGCATCTTAGGCCTGGCAGCAGGAGAAAGAGGGAATTGTGCCCTGTCCTATAAAAACAGGGGCATCAGTTCCATTTTCAGGTTCAAGTCCCTTCCCAGAGTCCATTCCCTTGGATCCAGCAAATATTGATGGCTCAGTTCCTCCCTGCTCCTCAGGTGCTCCTAAAAGGTGCCTTTGCTGAGGGCTGGGAACGGGTGGAGCAGAGTCCCTGGCCAGGCTGGCAGTGCTGGCATGGGCACGGAGCTTGTGGCAGCCCCCCCAAAGCCAGCAGGGCTCCGGGAGCAGAGCCTGGCAAGCTGCAGGCTTTGAGGAAGAGGGAGATGAAGGCCACCATGTGAAAGCAGGGCGTTGTGGCTAACAGGGATGCGTCCATGGGAGCCAGCGGGGTCCCAGGGATTGTAGCCAGGAGAGTGCAGCTCTGCCCTGCCTTGGAGCAGCCCCAGGGATGGAGTGGGATCAGTGAGAGGAGCCTGCAGGGCTGGGGATGGCTCCTTGTGCTGCTGAGCCTGCCTTTCCCAGGGTGGGCACCAGGCAGGGTCCAGAGCTGGCACCAGCTCAGCCCTGATGTGCTTTGGAAGCGTCCAGGAAAAGCACAGCCCCACTCCTGCTCCTAAAAGTGGGAATTGGGGCTTGAAGTTTGCATCTCCCTGAGTTCCTACTGCCCAGATCTCTCCTGTTTTTTAAAACCCCTGTGGTTTTGAGGGCAAATGTCTGTAAAGGAAGATTTGTCCATTTGAATGGGGGTGATGGACAGGTGAGGCCCAAGGGAAGAGCAAAGTGGTTATTGTACAGATAATTATTAGAGATAATATGGGGTTTTATGGGTGATTTATTAGAGAGAAATCCAGTCCTTCCACCTCTGGAATTCCTATTTAAAACTTATTCCCTGACTCCTTCCCTCTGGTGCTCCTGGGCTGCTGTTCCCATCTCTGCTGCTGTTCCCATCTCTTCCCAGCCCCGTCCTGCCCTGGGAGGAGGTTGCTGACCCCTGCCAGCTCTGAGGTGCTGCAGGATGCTCCAGCACCTCCATGCTGTGCTTGTCTGCCCCAGGGAGCCCTGCCCGTGGGAGAACACACGGCACATCCCGGGTCCAGCCCTCCCGGGATGGATTTCCCCTTGAGCTCCAGCACATGGGGCTGGCTCCATCCCTGCCCTTCCAGAAATGTGCTGCAGAGTGCCCAGGCTCCTGCAGCCAGGCTGGCCCTGCAGAGCCCTGCCCTCAGCCTAGTCCCTCCCTGCGCTGAACAAGCTGTTTCCAATAGCCTTTTTCCATCAGGGGGTTGCTGAGCAATATTTTACTTCCTTTTTTTAAAATTTTATTTTATTGCTGCGAGGCTCAAAGGCGTCTGTGAAGTGCTGCCAAACAAATAAATGAGGGCAGGGAGGTACCCGAGATTTATTTTGGCTGGCGGAGCTGTGTGCTGGGAAGGGGAGGAGGAGGAGGAGGAGGAGGAGGAGGAGGAGGGTGAATCAGCGTTTCAGAGCTGCACAGAGCTGCTGCCATCAGGCAAGGGTAGGCTTCCCTCTAGAGGAATCGGCCGTGCTCCTCTCCTGCTCTCACCCAGCACTTGCAGCATCCTCCTTCCTCAGAGAGGGTGGGGAAGGGCCTTTTTGGGGGGTGGGGAAGGGCCTTTCTCGGGCAGAGCAGGGCTCCTGCCAGCACCAGAGCAGGGACGTTCATCCCAAGGAACAGGCTTGGAGGGTGACGCTGCACTTTGAAATCCCCGTGGAAAGTCACAGATTCTCCAACGGCCTCAGGCTGTGCCAGGGGAAGCTCAGCTGGGATATTGGGAAAATTTCTTCTTGTGAAGGTTTGTCCAGCCCTGGCACAGCTGCCCGGAGCACGGGTGGAGTCGCCATCCCTGGAGGGCTTTAAAAGCCCTGTGGATGTGGCATTTGGGGACATGGGGCAGTGGTGGCCTGGGCAGTGCTGGGGAGGTTGGACTCGATGGTCTTAGAGGGCTTTTCCAACCTGGACATCCCATGCTGCTTCTGCCGGGAATTTTCAGCCAAGGGCCCCTGAACAAACCCTGGTGGGTCCCAGCAGGAATGGGGTTGAGAAGCAGAAAGGAAATTTCCACAGTGGAGTTGAAGGAGGAAAATGAGAATGCAGCAAAGATGGATTCAAGTTCTGTCTTTATATATTTAGCCAATATGAGCAGGTCCAGCTCCTCATGAGCCCCACCAGGACTTTACAAGGCCTGGAGGGACAGGAGCCAGGGAATGGCTCCCACTGGGAAAGGGGAGACTGGGCTGGGATCTTGGCAAGGAATTCCTGGCTGGGCTGGAATTCCCAGATTTGCTGTGGCTGCCCTGGATCCCTGGCAGTGCCCAAGGCCAGGTTGGACACTGGGGCTGGGAGCACCTGGGACAGTGGGAGCCGTCCCTGCCATGGCAGGGGTGGCCCTGGATGGGATTTGAGGTCCCTTCCAACCCAAACCATTCCATGATGACCTGGGGAATGAAGACAAAATCATCTCGGGGCTTTGAGGAGGCCTCGAAGCTGTTCCTGCAGCTGTGCAGGTGGGGATTGGTGCAATCCCAGGTGCCTGGCATCAGCCACCCCTGAGGAGGGAACTTCACCCACTCAGCTTCTGGCAGCTGGCAGGTCGTTAGCAGCCAGTGCTCATTAATGAGTGCAGCTGATTAATGCTCTGCAGCCGTTTGGAGCTGGAGCAGGCCCTGGCTGCTCTTACTCAGCACAAAGGATGGATCTTGCTCTGGAGCAAACGTGGAAGCAGTGCCAGCAGGACAAGCAGAGGTGGGGCAGGGCCGTGTGCCCCTTGCAGCCACCCTGGGATTGTGGTGGTCAGACCTTGTCACCTTCCCTCGTCACCTTCACCTTCCCTCGTCACCTTCACCTTCCCTCGTCACCTTCCCTCGCCAGCTGGGAAGGAAAATTTGCCATGGTGTGCCCTGTTGAACTCTATTTGTGGGTGTTGTGAACTCATCCAGCTGAGGGGTCAGGTGCTGAGCAGCTGCTCTCCTCTCCTGGGGAGCTCAAATTCGAGGGGGATTGGGGAAAAAGGTCCAACCCTCTGCTGATCTCCCGGCTGGGAACGCCAGGAGAGGTTTCTCTCCATGCAGAGAGTGGCTCCAGGCTGGAGTGGTTTGTGCCTCAGGGTCCATCAGCTTCTCCCAAAGCTCCTGGAGACTCTGAGCGCTCCCCCAGAGCTCCAAGGCCCCGGCAGGAGCTGGGCTGCAGCTGCAGGGCGTTCCTGGCTGCCCCTCCCTGGGCCAAGCAGAGCAGGACACGGAGCAGGGCAGGACCGTGTGGGGACCAGGCTGGGCACGGCCACCACGGCTGCTTTGTGACAGCAGGAGAGGGCACCCACGAGCTGTGTGTGCCCCAAAGGCAGCTCCAGCCCGAGGCAGGATGAAGGGCTCGAGGCTTTTCTTTGTGCCTGGGTTGCCAGGTCTCTTCACTGGTGTCCCATGGGTGCTGCAGCAGAGCTGGGAGTGTTCCCTGCCCCCAGACTGGTGTGGGAGACTTTGGGAGCATGGATGGCTTCAGTGGGCACCTTTCCAAGGAGCTGCTCAGAGGAGGATGAGGGAAGGGGCTGTGGAGCTGCCAGGAGAAGGAGCAGGGGGTGCTCATGGTGGGGACATCACTCCTGGGCCGAGGTGCTGCCAGCCCAACGCCCTCCCTGCTCTGGGACCGACCAGCTGCACCACCGCCAGCCTCAGCTTTTGCCTCAAGATGGCATTTTGGGCTTTAAAATGTCTCTGAGGCGTTTGGTGGGTGCACAATAACACGGAAATGGGTGTCCAAGCAACTCTGTGATCTTGCAGTGCCACCTGCAATCCCTCCCAGCAGCTGGGTAGGAAATCCCAGGGTGCAGCCCCAGGGCTGGACATGCCCTGGGCACCTTGGCAAAGCAATTCATTTATTCCTTCCTCTTAAACCTCGCTGTGCCCAGAGCTGGCTGACCCATGCCCATATTTCTGCCCAGCCGAGATGGGAACTCTCTGGAGCTCTCTGGTGCAGGAGGCATCAATCCCATGGGATCTGTTGTGGGGCAGGGCCAGGTGCCCCTGTCCTGGGGACGGGATTGCTCCTCCCAAGGGTGAGGCAAGGGGAGCGTGGCAGTCAGAGCACCAGGTGGATGTGGGGTGTCCATGCCACACCCCTCTTTGTGATGTGCAAACCTCTGAGCCTGGTGAGCCTCCTCGGGCTGGGGACTCCACACTGCCGGAGTTGTTCCCAAAGGAAGGTCAGTGAAATCCCAAAGGAAGGTCCCTCAGTCCTGCTCGAACAGGCAGCAGGGCGCTGTCAGCTTCACTTGGGGTGAGGTTCTGAGTTCCAGGTGTGCTGAATCCCTTCCACCTTGGGATCCCCCGGGGGGTTTCAGGCATCTCGGGCAGAAGTGGTGTGACAGAGGGCATGTGGGAGGCAGGGCAGAGTCCAGAGTGGGGACAGGGCCCTGTCCTGGCCACGTGCTCCTTCCTGCTGGGCTCTTGTTGCTCGGCCTCCCTCAGCCCTGTCCCTGCCTCCTGTGCAAGTGCCATTTCCACCAGCTCCATGTGAGCTCCCATGCTGGTCGTGCTGGCAAACCAGTGAGGAGCACTGGGGTGAACTGGGAGAGACTCCTCTGTGGGCCTGCACTGGTACAAGTAACCCTGATCCAAGGGCCCGGGCTGCTCCTCGTGCCCCGGGTGCCACCAGCACCGGGACAAACTCCCCGGGCGAGCCCTTGGGCTGCAGGAGGTGGGGAGACCTCTCTGGCTCCTGGGCGTGCTGCTGAGGCAGAGAGGGGAGCGTGGAGGAGTGTCCCGGGAGCAGGGCTGCCCCTTCCTGGGTGTCGTGCATGCCCTTTCCACGCCGTGACTCCATAATCATTGCTCTGCCTAACAAGAGCCAGGCATGGATTTGGTCA